AGCCAAACATGCATAAAGATAGCTAGTTTCTTTACAAAATATTGTCTAGACAACCTCCTTAGAACTGGACAATATAGTGATTACTGTCCTTATTACTCTTCCATAGATCAGCCATATATGGAAACTTGAGAGATGTAGAGAAACCAGTGATCATGCAAGACTGAGTGTCATTTTTAGCATCTTGTCCTCTTAACTGAAGAGTAAGGCAAAAGATGTGCATCAAAAAGATCAACTGTAAATACTGCACAGAGCTGTTAGCTGTCAGTCTTTGTATGAGAGCAAAGAAATGAATGAAGCCTTGACTTTCTGCAATGCCATGCTTTCATTCCACTTCAAAAACAGACAAGCATAGAATTAATACTATTCCCCAAATACTTAACAACATAAAACAATTTAAGTAGTTCATTAAAAATTACTAAAAATAGAATAACAGAGTAAAGAAAAAATGTTTTCTAACTTAACTGCAAAGCTCTTTCTTCCTCAACTCTTCATAGTCACTTAAGGTTACCTCTTACCAGTGGAATGTTAAAGTTAATTGTTAACAGGTGTTATTTTAAAATTATGCAGGTCTTCATCTTTACAGAAGTCCTTTCTGCATTGAAATGCAAACTTGAGAAGGTTTTTGCATAGTTTTTTTTCTTTTTAGGTCATTTAGATGAATATGAATTTAGATGAATATCTAGATAAATGGAATATAAGCAAGAAAATATTAAATGTAGGTGTTCAGTACTGTGCATACATAATCTTCAGAATTCGTATTATAGTGATATTTTCATCCAAGCATAAGTGTCTTATCCACCATGAGGTGCTGGAAAAATGATGGGGGATTTTATCTTGGGGTTTTTACACTGGAATTGTTCACTCCATTAAAATGATTTACTTTTACATAGTTTCAGGGAGTATTTATCAGTTTATGAACCCAGATGTTTTTCTCTGAGTAATAGTGAACTATGCAAATTATTCATCAGTTATATTTTGGCCACTGCACCTTCTGCTCCAATTATCAGATCAGTTTTATTTATAATAATCTATTGGAAAGAAGGTCTTGTTTGAACACTAGTATTTTTACTCTGCAAATTCTACAGTCAGTCTTATTGTCTACATTGTTTAATGTGGCAGTCCGTGTAGCCAACCTCAACATGCCCTTAGGGAGGCAAACAAACAGCAATGTCATATTAATTATCCAGCCCAGATTCACTAACGTGATTGCAAAGAATGCTAGAGTTTATACATGTTATAGCAGAAAACTTCACATTCTCCAATTTAAAAAGCAAAACAAACTTACTTTGAAATTAGTGGTCTTTATTTTCAGTTCAGATACCTGGAGTTTGAGGCCCTCTCTCTGACCATGACTCTTTGATGGCCTAAGTAAAAACCACGTTTACCCTAGCAGGGAGCTGCCTACCTCAGAGGGAAAGTTCATTAAAAAATACTACAATGACAATCCCAAGTAACCTGTTAAGTGTAGTTGACTGAAAAGGATAAACTTATCTCCTGTTTTTGAAATCTCAGTGTAAACAGTAATAAACCGGCAATGGTAAATAACTGAGGTTGGTTTGCACTTATTGTGAAATCACGTACAACTGGCAGATGTCCTTTATATATTTTTACTAATTAATTAAAAAGAAAGTCTATGTGATTAACAAGTCAATTTACATGTACAGTGGGAATGTGCATGTTGTGCCTTCAGGCATCATACAGGCTTATAATGGAGACACAAAAACATTCTTTAACAAAAAACAAAGAAAATGAGTTTCCATAGTCACAGTTTAACAGCAGTACCCTCTATTGGCACTAGTGCAAAGACAGTTACTTCCAAAGTCACAAGTGAGGTTGCACCCAAGGTCCACATCATTGCAGCAGCATTGTATAGGCTAAAAACCAAGCCTGAAGTATTTTTAGTGGCATGCAGTTTAGCCAGAACTACTAATTCAAAGACTGAATTAGAAATACTACTGTTCAAAGACTTAATATCAAAACTGCTCCAAGTCCTCAAGTCTCAAATGAAGCAGAAACAGTAACCTGTGAAGATAACCTGCTAAACAGAAAGCTGGTACTATGAGATCCCCATTTGCAAGGAGATGTAATGGTGACAAATTGCCAGTTGTTACAGGAATAAGTCCTGAGGGCCCAAACCAACAAAACATGACAAGGGCAGAAATACTAACTTTTGTTAAAAGGTGTTATTTCTTGCTGTTCTTGTATCACAGAAGCATTCTAGAGTACAAATAAAGTCACTTCAGAGACAGCTTTGGCATGCTTTAAAAGAACCAAGTACTTGTGGTCATTTTATGTTATCTCTGCCATTGATTTAACTACCCATGTCCCACAGGGCCAAAAACCAAAGACTTCACAAAATCTGAGGTTCTTGGCTCTACACTTGAAGGAGTAATTAAGACCCAGAAGGTGCAAGAAAGGTGCATGCTACCTATGCAAGTAATAATTGTGCAGCATATCTCAAGAATAGTGTCAGTTTTGGCTATGGGAATGAAGAGAATAAAACCTGCTTTTCTCACAAAAGACGTAGTAAGTACCATAGTACAGGATCATGCAGAAATGCAGAATGCACCAGTCCATCAGATTCATACCCAATTTCATGCATTTACAACACAAACATTTCTGGAAAAGCATTCCAGGTGCATCCTCTGCAGCTGACTGTGGAATGGTGACACTCAGAAAATAAGAACAGAGGATTCTTCAGCTGTGTGCCAGCAGACTACCAGATAGCAGTAGGAAGCTAAGAGGAAACAATGCAATGAAATCCACTGCACAGCAATTCAACTCCTCAAGCAGGAAATGAACAGTGTGTGTGGATGTGCAACATTTCCAATAAAAAACTCTCACTGAGAGGTCCCAGGAAGAAAGGGTTCTGCATTGACAGCCAGTGTGTTTCTAACACAGTCCCCTCCCCAGGTGGAGCCAAGATTTTTTTTCTCCACTTTTTTCTCCTATTTACATCTGAAGTATCTCAGAGCAGGGATGGGTTCTGATGACTCCAATGGGCAGCCCTTTCTCTTACCGGAGCAAAAATAAAATGAAGTGGAAATTCCCATTAATTGCAAGAAAAGAGTTTTACTCTCCAACTTCATCTGAGCTTACACTGTGTGAAATCCCTCAGCTAAATCAGGCACTTCCAGTTCCAATCAGGCCACAGACTAAGAGTTGCCTTTCAACCCACTTCAAAGACAGGCTAGTTCTATTAAGGAGAATCAGAAAACTGAAGAGGATGCTCAAAATTTAGGATCAACATTCTAAAACTTGGGATCCGCCAGAGAGGAACTTAGAGAGGGGTACTTTTAAGAGGTCCTGAGCCCTCCTTCCCTGCTACCCATAATTGCCAGGTATTCGACAGCTCTTAAATCAAAACATTTCAGCTATTGCCTACAAAAAAGTAACCAAAAAAGGTCACCCATGCTAGTTCTGTTGGGCAGAACTAAAACAAAAGACATGCTGGTTTTAATTTTTTGACAAAATATGCTAACCACTGCTCTTTCCATTATCTCTCAGGTGAGGTAGGGAGTGATCAAACAGCACTCACAGCCATCCTTGCCTCTCCCTGGTCTTTCATGAGGCCAAAAGAAGTGCACTGTAATCTCAAGGTGTTGTTTGACCTTGAATTACATTGAAATGATAGTCAAAGCCCCACTTTGACTTGCCAAGAAATGGTGAAATAAAACCCTTTTTGACAACATAACTTAAATATGGTTGGCTAAACCCCATTGAATTATCACCTCAAATTAGCTTTCTTAAAGCTTGAGCTTTTTTGGTTTGAGTTTTTTAATTCAAGCAATTTTTAATTTAAAAGCAGAAAGAAAAATCATAGCAAATAAGTTATCACAATATACAGTAGCATATTTAAGAATACACAGATATATGTAAAATACACACATTCTACATTTGTGGCAGAAAAGACCCTGCAGCATTGTTTTGGAAAGACCAAAGGGTTAGAAGCCCCAGAGTTGGGAAGACGGTAGGAAGGCTACAGCAAAACTGGAGTTGAAAAAACCTATTTCCAATTTTACTTGTTATCCATTAGCAATGTATCTTATAAAAAGTCGCAAAATGAAAACTTTCACAAAGTATTAAATACTTATCTGGACAGAAATGGACACTGTCATTCATTTCTAGGCCATTTCTACACAGACCACTGATGCTATGCCAACGTGATGGCAGTGAGAGGGGCCCCAGCAGTGGAGGACTGCTGAGGTGGGTGGTTGGGAAGAAAAGCAGGCAGAAGCTGGAAAAAAAGTGGTGGTGGAAAGAGTTTAAAGGTCTCTGTGAGATCACTGATCAGCAAGATAAAACTACAGAAGGATGCATTAAAGAAGTAGGAAACAAAAACAATGCCCGAGAAGTATAAACAGCTGGAAGGTAAATCGGGATTTAAATCAAAATTGAGGAAATAAGCTGGGGACCCGAGACAAGAAAGTCAAAGCTGGTATGAAAGATAGGAGTGCAAGAGGTTAAGCATAGCTGTCTATGAGCCAGTACCAACCCAGGCAAGGCCTCTAGCCACTGCACACTGTGTGAATGGAACATCTGTAAATAGATCCCTGGAAATTATGTCTATTTGTGTCCACTGAGAACAGGACAAAAATAAATCAATTTAATTTGCACCAAAGAAGGTTTATATAAAACCTAAAACGAACACCGAGTATGGGAACTAAGAGGCTGCAAATCATTGTGCATGAATGGGCATTTCTTTCTTAACATCAGACTAAACAAACATCTCCATGGGATGGTCAGAGACCATGTGAGTGGCATCAGGGTGAGGATGTTAGATCCATGGTTCCTCCATGTAGCTCTGAAAGTTTCACAAAGACACACATTCATTACCTTAGGTTTTAAACTATTTGATATGTGACAAAGGGTTCATGCAAGAGGGGCGGTTGGCTTAATGAAGACCAAAACTTCATGTATGTTGAGGGTACTGTTCTCCTGAATCAGGACAACTGTTGGAGCCTGTCTCCTGTCCTCTGACTTTGTGTTGAGCAAGAAGGATGACTGCTGTGAATCCTTGGATGACAGTGCCTGGTGTCCGCATGCAGATGGGAATGGCACAGGTACCAGAGGCAGCTTCTGTGCTCTGCTTCACAGAATCACAGAATGTTAAGGGAGCTTAAAGATCACCTAGCCCCAAACACCCTGCCATGGGCAGGGACATTCCCACTAGACCAGGTTGCTCAAGGCCTTGTCCGACTTGGCTCTGAACACTGCCAGGGTTGCGGCACACACAGCTTTCCTGGGCAACTTCTTCCAGTGTCTCGCCACTCTCACAGCAAAAAATTTCTTACTAATATCTAACCTAAATTTCTCCTCTTTAGGTTTGTAGGTTCTACCCTGTAGAGCGCCTTCAGGAGGTTGCTGTAAGGTCTCCGCGCAGCAGAGACCTTCTTCCCTTCTCCAGGCAGAACAGCCCC